AGCCAGGCGGCGCAGCCATGGGTAGAAAATGGTTCGTGCTCACGGCTTGCAGGCCCAGCCCTGCCCAGTTCCTGGAAGCGCCTGGCTCTGCCTGCCGGGAGAACAGCGCTGGGAGGGCACTGGGACCAGTGTGGCACCAACCTGCCGAAGAGATGGCCAGGATTCCCACCTCTTCTTGGTTTAGGTTTTTCCCTACGAGCCCCCTGAGGCCAGGCTACTGCGTGAGAAAAACAGGCTTCGGTTCAGACTCACTCGGGCGAGCTCTGAGCCTTAGCTTTCTCGTCCACGAAGTGGGGATGAGGATGTCTACTGGGTGAGGAATCGGTGCTCTGACCGCCATGCCGAGGGCCTGCCCCTAGGGGTGCAGGAGTCTGTTCAGATGTTCAGGGGAGGGCATGTCCAGGCCCCCATAGGCGGCTCCCACCCCAGCAGGCCACCCCCACCCAAGGCTGGGCCTAAGAGCTGGTGAGGCCTTGGCAGAGGCCGGAGAGTGCCGGCCCAGAGCAGGGCCACACAGATACCCACCGGCCCCAAGTGCCCTGCCTCTGCTGATGTCACTGGACGCTTCCTGCCCCCTGCTGGTCAGGTCTCTGCGGGGCGTGCACCTGCTGTCTGCGTCCACAGACCTGCCTAGGCTGCTGGCCCAGCAGCAGCTCCACTCCACGGAGCTGAGGGCAGAGCTGCTCCCTGTGGGGGCTGGGGGGGGGGCAGCCCCAAGCTCCTTCACGTGCCAGGCTTCCTGCTGGCCCCACGATCAGAGCTCACCACGCCGAGAGGTGGGCAACATGCCCACTTCAGAGTAAGGTCAACCCTGTGCAGGGCCACTGCATTGAGGGCAGGCGCCCTGAGCTAGAGTGCCGGGGGCCTACCACGGGTGGCCGGCAGAGGGCGGCAGAGCTACCGAGGGCCTGCTGCAGTGGCCAGCAGAGGGCGGCCAGAGCCAGGGACCGAACTGGAGTTCCGACCTCCCACTTACTGGCTGTGCAACCTTGGGCCAGTGGCTCAACCTCTGTGCTCCTCACCTGTGCAAGGGCTGGGTCATGGAGGCGGAGCACACAGCAGGGGATATGGGACGAGGGCCCCTGGTTCTCACTGAGGTATGGGGACTCCTGCTGTACCTCTGCCTAGGAAAGCCAGCGTTTTAGGGGCCAGAGGAAGGGCCATGGTGTGAGCAACTCTTGAGACCTGGCCCCTGCTTCCAGGCAGACCACAGATGAGTTCGGGTCCCCACAGCACAGGTCTAAGTGACATCTCTCAGGCCCCAGGAGCCCAGGGAATGGCCCACTGCGTCCTGTCCCCAGGGCCCACTCAGGAAGCCCAGCAGGAAGCCGCCCGCCTCCCCTCCCACTGCCCTCCCTATCTTATCTGCCAGGCCCTGGCTCCCAGCAGCTGGCCGGCGGGGCTGTGAGCATGGCTGCGGCCTGGCAGGCTGGTGTGAGGGGCTTCGATACCTGGCACTTGGACGTCACGTGCCACGGAAGAGAGCCAGAGCCAGGGCCTGACAGTACAGGGGTCTGCAGCCGGACAGTTTCAAGGTGCCCTCCACTAGATGCTCCCAGCCGCTGCCCTGTGACAGTGACACAGAAGCCCCATTCCACCCCAGGAGAGGCAGTGAGGGCCCAGGGCACCAGGAAAGTAATTGTCCGATGGGGCGGAACCCGGTTGGCAGGGCTCTTTTCCCACTGAGCAGCACTGTCAGGGCAGATTCAGGATCCTAGCCTGGCCCTGATGCCCAGATCGGGCTCTCTCTCTCTCTCTTTTTAAAATTTAATTTAATTTATTTATTTTAATTTTGGCCAGAGGGAGGGAAAGGAAGAAAGCAAGCCACCTGGTCCGGGACTCGAACTGTGGTTGGCCATGTGGGAGTGCCCAAAGCCTTAACCATTATGCCACCTGCTGGTCCCTCTCAGATCGGGCTCTCACCCTGGACAGACCGAACAAGACTGAGAGGGATCTCAGAGCCAGGACCACGGGTTCAGCCCAGACTCAGACCCTGGGGCAGCCTGGAAGGGAGGGACAGTGGCATGGGGGGTTCTGAGTTTGGTAGTTCTAGCCTGCAGAAACCACTGAGGCTGACGGATCTGGAGTCTGCCCGGGATCCAGGCGCCACCTCGGGCAGCCCTGAAGGAACAATCCCAGAACCGGCCCACAGTAACGGTGCCTGCAGTGTGTGCCAGGACGGTGCTAACAGCCCTGCGGGACGGCACCGCTGGCATCCCCACCGTGCAGACGGGAAAACCAAGGCACAGAGAGGTTAAGCGGCTCACCCAGGACCACGCGGGCACAGGTGAACTGAGAGCCACACTCAGGCAGTCGGCTCCAGAACCTCCTGGTAGGCGAGGCTTTATGGGTGACAAAGCCACCCTCCCTGTACCTGTTCCCCTGCACCTGTCCTAAGCCCAGCTTAGAGGGTGGCATGCTATAGCAATGAGACCAAGAGGCCAGGGGAAGCCCAGGCTCTCCCCCACACCAGTGCTTGCCCTCCTGCCCTTCCTGGGCTTGGCTGGGCAGGAGCCAGAGACTGAGTCAGAGGAGGTCCCGCCCATGGGGAGGGCCCTGGAGAAGGAGGAGCCAGACCCCAGGCTCCACAGAGCCCAGCACTGCAAGGAGGGTGGAGGGCAGGGGGAGGGAGGCTCAGGGGGAGTGGGGTGTAAAGGGCCCTCTAAGTGTTCTAGGCATAGCCTGGAGAGATGCCCTCTGGGCATCCTTTCATCCCCGCCCAGCCCACATGGTCTGCCTGTGGGTTTTCCCAGCCCGGAGCTCCAGGGCAGGCCACCGCTGCCAGCTCCAGGCTGAGCAGGGATTGCCAGGTTCCACTGGGGCTGCAGACAGGGTCCCGGGGGAAAGGACAAGGTGGCACAGGGGCCTAGCCTGGGTGAAGGCCTGCCATTGCCAGCCCCTAGCAGCATACCTCCAGGGCACGCCTTCTGCACCTGCGGTCCTCTCACCACAGCAGCCCTGCCCTACCTGTCCGACCAGCCGGGCTAGTGCTGGCCACTGCCCTGCCTGCCTCCTGCAACCAGAAATTCCAGTCCCCATCAGTGCACAGCAAGAACGGGCCAGGCAGCACCTGGCTGCACCTGCAAAGGTGTCTCCCTCCCCTCCCCCTCTCCTGGTCCACTCACCTTCGCCCCCTGAACCCAAGGTCACAGAGGCACTGGCTAGACAGCCTGGGAAACTGAGGCCTAGGAAGGTCAGGGAAGGAGGACTGTGTTCTCAGAAATCCAGCCCGTGGACTGCCCCCTCTACAACAGACTTGCCTCCCCACACCCCTATTCTCATCTCCTCCCATGGCACACGGCTCCCTGACCCCACCAAACCCCAGCTCTGAGCATATGCCCATAGGGGAGCATTCCTAGACAGGCAGAGGCCTGGACGCTGGGCGCGCCCCACTGCCAATGAGTGCAAGCTGCCTGCTCCGCGGTAGAGGGGCTGAATGGTCAGCACGGCGAGCGGGGACGTTTCCAGGGGACAAGTGGACACGGCCAAGTGTAAGCACAGGGCTGAGGGCCCCAGGTGCGGCCGAGCTCTGGGATGCTCCTCGCATGTGCCTAGGCCTCGTGAGAAGTCCCCCCACCTCCCCCAGTGCCCCAAGCAGGTGTTTACTGCACTGAAAGGACAGTCATGAGCTGGGGGTGAGGCCCTGGCTGGGGACGAGAGGACGAGGCCTATTCCCACCTGCAGAGTGGATGGAAGACGATGCCCAGGCTGGCTTGGTAAGGAGAAGAAGGGCGAGAGAGGGACCCACGGAGACCTCAGGCCATTCCCCCACCTGAAACCATCATCCACACGAATCATGTCCACTTCCAGAGGGGAACTGAGGCCCAGGGAGGGAGTGCTTGCTCAAGGTCACATCTACATAAGGCAGGGCCAGACTCCTAAACCCATGTTGGGAGCAGGGAAGGCAGGGAGGCTGGCTGAGGACACCTTTGGAGGACGGCTGTGCTAGGTGCAGGAGCTGGAGGCAAGGTGTGAAGAGCGGCCCCCAGGCTGTAGGGAAGTTGGCTTGCAGGCCATCTGTGTGCCCAGTGGGTAAGGGAGCCAGGTCCCCATGACCAACCTGGCTCTGGAGGCTTGAGAGGCACACGGGCACACGTCTGGGCGTGGCTGCCCTTCCCTAGGACCCTACAGGACAGAGGTGGGGGAGGGGCTGCGGTTGACTACACCCCGCTGGGGTGCTCCTCCCTCTCCCTCTCTCTGATGAGTTCATGAACCCTCTAGCAAATAGACAAAAGAAAGTAAAATAAAATTAAAAAAAAAAAGATGAACTTAGACAAAAAGTAAACATGGTTAAAAAGAAAGTTGGCTTCCAGCTCAACTTGTAAACAGCCCGGATGCGGGAGCAGGAAGTGGCTCCAGATCAGCCGGCCAGGCCGCGCTATGCCCCGCTGGCCAAGGGTCACGCAGCTGGGAGTTCATGGTCACCCCACCCGGCTGGCCCGCCCTGCCTGAGCCCTGGGGCTCCACTTCCTGCCCCACCACCTCCCTGCTGTGAGCTGACAGGCCCCGCCCTCAGCACTAGCCGCTTACACCCCAGAGAGAGCAGAGAGGCCGTCCCTCAAACCCAAGGGCAGATCCCAGGTGGCTGCGCCCCCCCCCCCCCCA